ACTTACATCAATGGATAGATCATCCAAACAGAAAATCAACAAGGAAACAGTAGCTTTGAATAACACATTGGGTCAGATGGATCTAACAGATATATTCAGAACATTTCATTCTAAAACAGCAGAACACACATTCTTTCCAAGCGCATATGGAACATTCTTCAGAACAGATCACAAATTAGGCCACAAAACAGATCTCAACAAATTAAAAAAGATTGAAGTCTACCATGCATCTTTTCTGACCACAACACTATGAAACTAGAAATCAACCACAGAAAAAATCTGGAAAAAACACAAATACATGGAGGTTAAATAATATGCTATTAAATAAGGAATCAGTTACCCAAGAAGTCAAAGAGGAAATTAAAAAAATACATGGAGAAAAATGAAAACACAATGGTCCAAAATCTTTGGGATGCAGCAAAAGCTGTTCCAAGAGGGAAGGTTGTAGCAATACAGGCCTACCTCAAGAAACAAGAAACATCTCAAATAAACAACTTAACATTATATCTAAAGAAGCTAGAAAAAGAAGAACAGATAAAATCCCAAACCTGGAGAAGGAAGTAAATAATAAAGATCAGAAAAGACATGAGCAAAATAGAAGCTAAAGAAACAACAGAACCGATCAATAAACTAGGAGCTCGTTCTTTGAAAAGATCAACAAAATCAATAAACTTAGCCAGACTTATAAAAAAAAGACTCTAAATCAGAAATGATAGAGGAGAAATAACAACCAACACCACAGAAATACAAAAAATTATAAGAGAATATTATGAAAAATTGTATGCCAACAAATTAGACAACCTACGAAGTGGATAAATTTGTAGAAACATATAACATCCCATAACTAAATCAGGAAGAAATAGAAAATTTGAACAGACCAATTGCTAGCAATGAAATTGAATTAGTAATAAAAAAAAACTACACAAAAACAAAAGTCCAGGACAGCATGGCTTCACAGGTGAATTTTATCAAACATTTAAAGAAGAGTTAACATCTATTCTTCTCAAAATATTCCAAAAGATAGAAGAGGAAGGAAAGCTCCCAAATTCATTCTACAAGGCCAGCATTACCATGATACCAAAACCGGACAGTGTCACTACAAAAAAACACTACAGGCCAATATCCCTGATGAATATAGATGCAAAAGTTCTCAACAAAATATTAGCAAACCACATGCAACAATACATTACAAAGATTATTCACCATGCTCAGGTAGGATTTATTCCTGGGATGCAAGAATGGTTTAATATTTGCAAGTCAATCAACATCATATACCACATCAACAAAATGAAGGATAAAAATCATATGATCATTTCAATATATACAGAAAAAGCATTTGACAAAGTATAACATCCATTTATAATAAAAGCTCTCAACAAAGTAGGTTTAGAGGAAACATATCTCAACATAATAAAGGTCATATATGAAAAACTCACACCTAACATCAAACTCAATGGTGAAAAACTATGACCTTTTCCCCAGGAACAAGACAAGGATGTTCCCTGTTGGGGCACCTGGGTTGCTCAGATGGTTACGCGTCTGCCTTTGGCTCAGGTCATGATCTCCGGGTCCTGGGATCGAGCCATGTCAGGCTCCCTGTTCAGCAGGGGAGTCTGCTTCTCCCTCTCCCTCTGCCTCTCTCCCCACTCATGCTCTCTCTCTCTCTCTTAAATGAAAAATAATAAAAAAGTATGTTCACTCTCATTACTTTTATTCAACAAAGTACTGACAGTCCTAGCTACAGCAATCAAATAAGAAAAACAAATAAAAGGCATCCAAACAGGTAAGGAAGAAATAAAACTTTTGCTATTTGCAGATGACAAGATACTATATATAGAAAACCCTAGAGTCTCCACCAAAAAACTATTAGAATCAATAAATGAATTCAGTAAGGTCACAGGACACAAAATCATGTAGAAATCTGTTGCATTTCTATACACTAAAAATGAAGCAGCAGAAAGAAAATTTAAGAAAAATCCCATTTAAAATTGCACCAAAAATAACAAAATACCTAGGAATAAACTTAATCAGGAGGTGAAAACTATAAAACATTGATGAAAGAAATTGAAGATGACACAACAAATGGAAAGACATTCCATGCTCATGGAAGAACAAATATTGTTAAAATGTCCACACTACCCAAAGCAATCTATAGACTTAATGTATTTTTCTAGATTTTTATAGATATATAAAAATATCAACATCATTTTTCACAGAATTAGAACAAACAATCCTAAAATTTGAATGGAACCACAAAAGGCCCTGAATAGCCAAAGCAATCTTGAAAAAGAAGCTAGAGGTATCACAATTCCAGATTTCAAGTTGTATTACAAAGCTGTAGTAATCATACACAGTATGGTACTGGCAGAAAATTAGACAATGGAACAGAATAGAAAATCTGGAAATAAACCCACAATTATATGGCCAGTTAATCTTCAACAAAGAAGGCAAGAACATGCACTGGAAAAAAGTCTCTTTGATAAATGGTGTCTGGATAACTGGACAGCTATATGCAAAAGAACGAAACTGGACCAAACTTTTACACCATATACAAAAGTCAACTCAAAGTGGATTAAAGGCCTAAATGTGAGACCTGAAACCATAAAAATCACAGAAAAAGAGCACAGACAGTAATTTCTCAGACATTGGCAGTAACAACATCTTTCTAGATATGTCTCCTCTCTTTTTTAAAAAAAATATTTATTTATTTTAGAGAGAGAGAGAGTGCACAAGTGGGGGGAGGGGGCAGAGAGAGAGAGAGAATCTATAGTGGACTTAGTGCTGAGCATGGAGCCCGATGTGGGGCTCAATTCCATGATTCTGAGATCATGACCTGAGCCAAAATCAAGAGTCCAATACTTGACTGACTGAGCCACCCAGGTGCCCCTCTAGATATGTGTCTTTGAGGCAAGAGACAAAAAAGCAAAAATAAACTATTAGGATTACATCAAAATAAAAAGCTTCTGCACAGCAAAGTAAACAACCAACAAAACTAAAGACAACCTACTGAATGGAGGAAGAAATTTGCAAATGACATATCTGATAGTATCGAAAATATGTACAGAACTTTTACAATTCAACATGAATAAAATAATCTAACTAAAAAATGGGCAGGGGGCACCTGGGTGGCTTAGTCAGTTAAGCTTCCAGCTCTTGGTTTTCTGCTCAGGTCATGATCTCAGGGTCATGAGATCCAACTCTGCATCAGGCTCCATGCTCAGTGTGGAGTCTGCTTGGGATTCTCTCCCTCTCCTTTTGCTCCTCCCCCCACTCTCTAAGTAAATAAAATCTTAAAAAAAAAAACTAAAAAAATTAAAAATGGGCAGAAGAAGACATGAACGGACATTTCTCTAAAGAAGACTTACAGATGGCCAACAGGCACATGGAAAGATGCTCAACATCACTCATCATCAGAGTAACGCAAATCAAAATCACAATGGGATATCACCTCACACCTGTCAGAATGGCTAAAATGAAAAACACAAGAAACAAGTGTTGGAAAGGATGTGGAGTAAAAGGAACTATCTTGTACTGTTTGTGGGAATGCAAACTGGTGCAGCCCCATTATGGAAGACAGTATGGAGGTTTCCTCAAAAAATTAAAAATAGAAATACCCTATGATCCAGTAATCACACTATTAGTTATAGACCCAAAGAATATGAAAGCACTAATTTGAGAGAGTATATGCACCCCCATGTTTACTGCAGCATTATTTAAAACAGCCAAATTCTGGAAACAACCCAATGTCCACTGATAGATGAATGGACAAAGAAAAAGTATACACACACACACACACACACACGCAGGTGCACACACACATGCACACATATATGCACACACACGCACACTGGAATATTACTCAGCCATAAGAAAGAATGAAATCTTTGTCATTTGCAACAACATGGGATGTAGAGGTTATAATGTTAAGTGAAATAAGCCAGAGAAAAACAAATACCATATGATTTCACTCCTATGTGGAATTTAAGAAACAAAACAAAGAAAAGCAAAGAACAGAGAAAAAAAGGGACAAACCAAAAAACTCTTAACTCTAAAGAACAAAATGGTGGTTACCAGAGGGGAGGTAGGTGGTGGGATGGGTGAAGTAGGTGAAGGGGATTAAGGGTACACTTATCATAATGAGCACTGAGTAATGTATAGACTTGTTGAATCACTATATTGTATATCTGACACTAACACAACACTGTATTTAACAGTTAAACTGCATTTAAGTCTTGGAATTAATTCACTGAAATTATTTTTTAAAAATGAATTTTATCTCATCCTTTCAAAATGACCTCTTTTGTATATGTTTTATAGTGTACCCAATATGTTAATAATACACAGTTTATTTAATTTTCTTTAATGAAGAATATGACAAAAAATCTGGAGGTTTACCCACTAATAAACAGCCAATCAGTGTTATGACATACAACCAATCTGCTCAGCATTCTTCCTACATGAGGGTGAAATAGTGGGGGAATGAGGAAGAAAAGACTTCCTTCCCCTGGAGGTCAATCACTTCAAAGCAAATATCAATCCCCCTGCATTTTTTTAAATAACTTATATCAGTTTTAATTTTACATTTATTTAGACAATCATTTATTTACTGAGGGAACTACTATATCCCTAATAGCTAGTAGAATCTCTGGCGGGATTAATAATAATAGACAACATTATTTGAATATTTGCTGTGTGTATTAACTCATTTTATAGTCACAAAATTCCTATGAGGTTGGCTTTTATAATTATTCACAATTTAAAGATGAAAAAAACGTGGCAGAGAGAAGTGAAGTAATTAGCACAACAGTCACATGGCCAACTTGTAGTTGTACAAGGATTGGATTCAGGAAGTCTGACTCTAGAGTCTTTCTCTTTGCTTGCATAATAATGTTAACATATGGTTCATATTTACTGAATAAAGGAACTTACAAAATTAAACTGAAAAATTATTTAAATGTTCCAAGTCATAAAAGAAATGTAAGCTTCACTGAGAATCTCACCCTTGCTTTCCTTGAAAATGTGGCATCTTCTCTTCTATCTCATTTTTAATGTCTACATATTTTGAAGTTGCATCTGATCCTTTTTCTAGTGATCTCCATCTTTGATTTCTCTTCTGTAATAGGTAAAAATAGGTGTTACTTTGCAAATCATGGAAATTTTAATTTTGTGGATTAAAATCAGTTGTGTATCAACATGATGTGAATAACAAAGACTCATTTAAAAATACACCTTTTTTAACATTAAAAAAATTACAAATTATTAGTGAATCTAAGATACTGTTGCACAGCTACTATAATAACGTTACTTTTTAAGGTAAAAACATTAATCAATAATGGTAATTGTGGATGTTTTATCTTGCATAATAAGTAGAAGGTAGCATTTTTATTCAGCAACAGGAGACACTTCTAAGTGTACAGTTCAAATGATTGCAACATTTTATTATTGTTGATGTAAGAAATTTTAAAACCATTAAGTGGTTGTCAATAAGTTAGATCAATTTGAAACACTGAGTTTTTTTAAGAAATGAATATTCAAGTTTAGTGGCTGTAATTCCTGTACTTAAGATTTATGTATGATATCACCAGATGTTTGTTATTGTGTTAGTTTTGTAAACTACCAATGTGATAACTGGTTGCCTTGTACATTCCTATGAGAGTTCTCATAAAAATTTGGTCTTAGGTTTTTATTAAAAAACAATCAGCTCTATTACCAAGTGTTATCTATTCTTATTATTCTTAGATTTACTTTACTTAGATTTACAATAGGACAAATACAAACACCATATAAAATTCAAGATGGATATGGTACCTCACGAAATGTAAATGGGTGAGAAAGATGGCAGCAGCTATCAAAACATTCCTGGCATAAGTGGTATTCTATACATTTGGTACACCTAAAAATACAAAAGGCCAAGACATACAAGAAAAAAATTCAATCATTTTGATGGTTTTGGTGAACAATTCCTGCCAAAATTTCCTGGGAACTAGGCAAATAGGACAAAGACCCATATTATCTGATCCGTATTAGCTTCCTACTGCAACTGTAACAAATTATAATAAATTTAGCAGCTTAAACAACACAACTTTATTATTTTATAGTTTTGTAGGATAGAAGTCTGACATGGGTCTCAAGGAACTAAAATCCAGGTGTCGGCAGGATTGCATTTGTTTCTGGAGGTTCTAGAGGGGATCTGTTTCCATAGTCACATTTCCCTCTGACTCTCTTTTTGCATCCCCTGTCCACTTTTAAGAACCTTTGTGATTACAATGGGTCCAGACAATCAAGAATAATCTCCTTATTTTAAGGTAAAGCATTTAACAATCTTAATTACATCTGCAACCTGAATTTCTCTATGACATGTAACCTAATATATAGGTTCTGAGCATAAGAATGCAGACATATTTGGGAGGACATTATTTTGTCTACCACACATCCCTTTCATGATTTGTTCCCACAATATCTTAGCTTTCATTTATTTCTTTCTCTAAATTCCTATAGGATTTATAGCCTATTAGATATCTATCATTTGATTATCCAGTGTTTTCCAATTGCTTCATAAAGAATTGTACTTAGGAGAATACTTCTTGAAAACAGGAATTATATTCCCTCTCTTTCCTCACAACATAAATTATTCTCAAAGGACAGTGTAGAGCAGTGGGCAGGGAGCAAAACATTGGAGAATGCCTGTATTTGGAACAATTCTCCCCAGTGCCAATTTGGCATGCAGATTATTTTGAGCTGAAGTCAATCAAGGCCTAAAGGACTCAGGAAGAGCTTTTTATCTCCCCCTCAACTGCCTAAAGGAATTTAGATAGAGGCCTGGTCCAGAAAGAGAGCTATCACCAAAGATAACTACAAAAGGTCTGGTAAGCTGGAGGGAGCTCAGCGGGGCCTGTTTGTTCAAATTCCTCTTTGTGTTCCATTGTTTCTGCATGGCATGACAAACATTTGCTCTTCCCATCTTCCCATAGATTGTCTTCTTTCCCTTTGAAGCCCCAGGCCCCTACCCTCTTCTTCTTAGCTGAGGATGGCTTATAAGCCTCAACTGCTAGTCTTTGAACCTCTCATGTCAATGTGAGGCTCCCACATGAACAAATTAAAATTTTTTTTCCTGCTATTAATCTGTCTTATGTCAGTTAAATTAATAGACCAAATAAAAGAACCTAGAAAGGGATAGAAAAATTTTTCCTCCTGTGCAAGAGGTAGTAGGAAGAATCATCCTCAAAGACAGAAAGAGCAGTCAGAAAGCTCAGAGTAATAGAGGAGTGCACTATCATTAACAAAATGTTTAAAAGAAAGATTTGAAATAGTCTACTAAGGCCACACACTAATCATTTGAGGAATAGGCAACAATGAGGACTGAGAATTTTACACCATGGCCAATTCACGTCCTCATCCCCCATAGCTGTTCCTCCCAATCCTCTCTCTCACACGTTATCTTCACTCTTTACTGTTTGGATCCATACCTCTTGAAAACAATGGCTGCTAAAACCAAAGATCAAGTCCTTCCTTTTTCTAGAACTCTATTTAACCAACATTCCTGACACTAGCTGAACACGTGCTAAAACTCTACAAAAATTTTCCCCTTCTTCAATTTATTGGAGCCTTCTCAGGCCAGTTATTTTCCAATAAAGACTTTTACTTATAGTGATCCAGTTGATTTTATTCTATGTGACACATAGAGAAAACAGAACTGAAACACTTCAAAGCAGAAAAGTTACCATTTGTTGATGGGAATGATAAAAAAAGTTTTATGGTTTTATAAGAGGGTTCTAAAAATATATTAATTGGGCTCATCATAATGTATTTCTAGGAAGACTGAAAAAAAGAATCTATTTTCTTAACATACAGTTAAGCTAAAATTTTAGTTAAAACACAAATTTCCCAAGCACAGCAATTAATTGATATTTTAGTGTGGCAATTCTGGGAAAGTTGGGGATTATTTACAAAAGTAACAAAAACTGTTTTCTCTAACATTTATCTTATTGTTGTTGAGGTATAGGATTAAATTAAAAAAATATGTACTCATTGCAATTTCGAGTTTGGGAAACTCAATTACATATTCAGTCAATCTAGTCAATATCCCTCTAGCTCAATCCTAGGAGTGTTTGGCAATGATTTCACTGATGGTCCAAAGGAAATTATAGAAGTTGGGAGGTCTAGAAGTTGAGGGTTCTGAGTTTGGAAACTCATTTAGGCCTGTGTCCTGAGCTTCCAGGACAGGAAGCTCCTTCAGACTCTCAATCTAGACTGGAGTACAAAGCCAATATCCTTGTGTAAGTGAAGACAATAAAACAATAGAATTTTTGAGGTACTGGGCTAACATAAATCACCAGTCTGGAAATCCTAAATAAGCAACCATCACCTAAGGCAAACACACTATATAGAGAAGGAAGAAGGCAGTCTAACTGACCAGTACCCCAGTGCTCCAAGTTTCCTAAAGTTAAAAAAAAAGTTAGAATACATGTTTATAATTTTACTGATGACACTTACTTATAACATTTCCCCTCAATTGGAAATTGTTTACAGTTATTACAGGGAATTCCAAGGTGTTTGTCCAGTCGCTCTTTTTCAGCTGCAGTCACAAGTTTGCTAGAGTTTTTGAATTCTTCTAAAATAAGTTTTAATGGTGCAAACTCTTTCCTGCACAGAGGACATTTCAACATGGAAGTGTTTGAAATCATATCCTGATAATTAGCTAGGATCTTCATGCATTTTATATGAATGCTATTGCCACAGCCAAACCTGTTAGAAATAAAATATGAGTTTACCACTTGCATATATCAAAGTTACATATATTTATATAAATAAAACTTCCTGTGCTATCATCTTTATTTCCCATAAAAATAGATTCTGAACTGACTTTCCAGATATAGCTTGATTATACACATAAACACTATCTTATCTACCTGTATAATCTATCATCTTTAATTTAATACATTAGAATTCTTAACAAATTCTCCCTCATTCCAATGAAATGGTGGTTTAAACAATTTTGCATCATTAGAATATTTTTCTTTTTTTTAAGATTTTATTTTTAAGTAATCTCTACCCAGTGTGGGGCTTAAAACCACAACCTTGAGATCAAGAGTCGCATGTTCCATTGACTGAGCCAGCCAGGTGCCCCAATATTTTTCATTTTAAAAGCGAGAATAAATATAATCTTAACAAAAGGAAAATTATAACAATAATTATTGTTTTTTAAATAAAAAGCATGAGAGCAGGGGTATCACCTCATTTTTCTAGAAATCACACAATATGTGGTTGTACCTGACAAATATCTACTGAGAGAAATATTTTGGGAAATAGTAAATAATTTAAAAATATGCAATAGAAGCAGCCATATGAAAAACTACATGGATTAAAATTTTGGCCAATAATCAGGAGTAAGAAAATGAAAAATTCAATAACAAATGGTTGCCCAAATATTCAAGTCCAACTTTACAGGGCCTCAAAGAATAGTATGAATATGACACTCTTAACAAATGTTTGCATATAGATAAACATTTCAATTACTTAGGTTTAAAGATAGAATTTTGAGACACTGAAAAGAATTTTTATAATATTAAAGTACTACCTTTACTCTCAGAAAATTCTTTGTAACTGGTCTAAGCCATGGCATTTATTCACGTGTATAAAAGGGAAATGTGAAAATTATCCTACTTTAATAACTTAAAGTGGAGAGGGGAAATAAAATGGAGTTAAGTTTTAATTTTCACCCTTTATAATGTAGCCTAGAAATATTTAGAGTAAGAACAGGACCTCTCACAGCAGATATGTTAGGAAACAAAAGGCCAATTAAATATAAACTAAATAATAGGTAAAGCTTTTTGTTGTTTCTCTATCAATACGTCTCATAACAATCAATTACAAACATATTAAATTACAATTTTTTCATAAGCTTTGAATATCCAAAGAAAAAAACATGTAGAAGCCTGGGAAGATGGCAAAATAGGAGAATCCTGAGCTCACCTTGTCCTGACACAATACTGACATACACACTGACATAATAGCCACATCAGTGCAATTAACTCAGAAACAACCAGAAGACTGACTGGAAGAACAGACTTTTCACAGTTAATCACAGAGCGAGTGCAACATTGAAAAGTGTGAGAGGAGCAGTGATATGGCCAGGAACTACACCCATCGGGAGACTAACCGCAAATGGGAGGGACACCACAAGCATGGAGAAGTGGAAGGATCAGACCCCACACCAGGCACCCAAGGCCCAGGGAACTTGCATTGGGAAGACAAGTCTCCATAACATTTGGCTTTGAAAACCAGTAGGGCTTAACATCACCAGTTTTTACTGTCAGTGGGGCTTAGCTCCAGGAAAGCCAGAGGTTGAAAGGAAACTGAGTCCCCTCCCCACCCTTAAAGAGCCAGCATAACATATAACTGAGATGAGATACAGCAAAAAAAGCAGTAGTTTGAAAAACACCTGGGGTATCATGAAGGAGATTTATTTACTAATTTCAGAACATGCCCCAGAGGGGCAAGGATCATTAGGAAACTTCTCCAAGAACTAAAGAGCTAATGGGCACCATTTCTGTCCTCCCCCAAGGGGGAGGTCAAACCAAATCTCTTCTGTCAAACCACAACAGAAGAGAGCAAGAGAAGAAGAAAGGAATGGAGAAGAACTACAAAAACAACCATAAAACAAGCTGGATGCTTGCAGGAACCAGCACAAACACTCTCCAACTATTTTGCTATCACAGTGCTTCCTGCCTCCACATTATGCTGTGGAGCTATGCCAACCAACTTGTCCCACTTAGCAGGTGTCCCTAGAAAGTAGCTTCTGGCCTAACACACTCTGTAAGCAGTCCTGGCAGGGGCCAGCGCCACTCCAAAGTGACTCCGACCCTGAGGAGAGGGGAAGATAACTACACACACCAGTGCACCCACAGTCCCTGCAGCCAAACCTTATAGCTAGCAGCTCAGAGATTGCCCTGCCAATCAGTGCAACTGCAGCACTGGCACACAGACTGGGGGCAGGCATGAGGTCTGACTTATGGCCCCATGCACCCAGGAGAGCCTCTCAGGGGACAAGGCAGGGAGAGTAGGCTACAGATCAGTGTGATGACAGCCCCAACAGGGTTTGGCGGTAGGCATGTGGTCTGGCTTCCGGCTCCATGTACCAATGAAAGCCTCTCAGGTGACAGTACAAGACAGTGCCCTGCAGTTCAGGGTGACTGCAGCTCCAACAGAAAGGACAAGGGCAATCATCCAGTGTGACTATTAATACTGCCCAACTAAAAGCCTAGTGCTTTTAGATGGGTTTAAACCTAAGTGATCAACTTATATATACTTTTAATAGACTTTTATATGCATAAGATATTATATGTGAACCTAATGGCAAACATACATTAAAAAAACTATAAATGATATAGAAAAAATAAAGAGAAAGGAATCTAAGCATAATATAAAAGGAAGGCATCAAACCACAACAGAAGAGAGCAAGAGAAGAAGAAAGGAATGGAGAAGAACTACAAAAACAACCATAAAACAAGTAACAAAATGCCAATAAGTACATACATATCAATAATTACTTTAAATGCAAATGAAATAAATGTTCCAATCAAAAGATGGTGAGTAAATGGATTAAAAAAAAAAGACTCATCTATATGACACCTTCAAGAAACTCACTTCAGACTTAAAAACATATGCAGACTGAAAATGAAGAGATGGAAAACCACTTACCATGCAAATGAAAGTGAAAAAAAGCCAGGGTACCAATACTTATATTGGACAAAATAGACTTTAAAACAAAGACTGTAGCAAGAGAAAAAGAAGGACATTACATAATGATAAAGGGAACAATCCAACAAGAGGATTTAACAACTGTAAATGTTTATGCATTCAACATGGGAGCACTAAATACATAAAGGAACTATTAACAGACTTAAAGGAAGAAATTGACAGTGATACAATAATAGTAAGGGACATTAACACCTCACTTACATCAATGGATAAATAAGCCAGATGGAAAAATCAACAAGGAAATAGTGGCTGTCAATGACACAATGGGCCAGATGGACCTAACAGATACTCAGAACATTCCATCCAAAAACAATAGAATACAGTTTTTTCAAGTGCACATGGAATAATCTCTAGAATAGGTTGCATATTAGGCCACAAACAAGTCTGAATAAATTAAAAAAGATTGAAATCATATCATGCATGTTTTCTGACCATAACAGTATGAAATTAGAAATCAAACAGAAGAAAAAATCTGGAAAGAACAAAAATAAATGGAGGCTAAATAACATGCTACTAAACAATGAGTGGGTTAATCAAAATATAAAAGAGGAAATAAAAAATGCATGGAGACAAATGAAAATGAAAACACAATGATCCAAAATCTTTGCGACGCAGCAAAAGCTGATCAAAGAGGGAAATTTATAACAATACAGACATACCTCAAGAAGCAAGAAAGATCTCTAACAAACAACCTAACCTTATAGCTAAAGGAGCTAGAAAAAGAACAAATCCCAAAGACAGTAGAAGGAAGGAAATAAGAAAGTTTAAAGCAGAAATAAATGAAATAGAGACCAAAAAAACACAAAAAACAAAACAACAACAACAAAAAAACAAAACCTCCTCAAACAATAGATCAATGAAACCAGGAGCTGGTTCTTTGAAAAGATCAATAAAATTGATAAACTTTTCATCAGACTCATCAAGAAAAAGTGAGAGAGGACTCAAATAAATAACATCAGAAATAAAGGGGAAAAAAAACACAACCAATGCCACAGAAATACAAAGAAATATAAGAGAATATTATGAAAAATTGTATGCCAAAAGATTGGGCAATGTAGAAGAAATGGATAAACTCCTAGAAACATAACACCTTCCCAAACTGAATCTACTTCCAATAAGAAATAGAAAATTTAGACCAATTACTAGCAAGGAAATTGAATCAGTAATCAAAAAATTCCCAGCATACATTTAAAGAAGAATTAATACCTATTGTTCTCAAACTTTTCCAAAAAATAGAAGAGGAAAGAAAGATTCCAAATTAATTCTACAAGGCCAGCATTACTCTGACACCAAAACCAGATAAAGATACTATAGAAAAAGAGAAGTACAGGCCAATCTCTCTGATAAACACAGATGCAAAAATCCCCATCAAAATATGAGCAAACCAAATCAAACAATACATTAAAAAATGATTCATCACAATCAAGTGAGGTTAATTCCAGGGATACAAGTGTGGTTCAATATTCATAAATCAATTAATATGATATATCATATTAACAAAAGTTAGGACAAAAAAATCATCTCAACAGATGCAGAAAAAGATTTGACAAAGTACAACATCCATTCATGATAAAAGCTCTCAACAAAATAGGTTTAGAGGGAACATTTTTCAACATAATAAAGGCCATATGTGAAAAACCCACACTAAAATCATACTCAATAGTGAAAAACTAAGAGCTTTTCCTCTAAGATCAAGAATAAGACAAGGATATCCACTCTCACCATTTTTATTCAGCATGGTACTGAAAGTCCTAGCCATAGCAATCAGGCTAAAAATAAATAAATGACATCCAAATTGGTAAGGAAGAAGTAAAACATTCAGTATTTGCAGATGACATAATACTATCTAGAGAGAAGCTTACAGACTCCACCAAAAAATACTAGAACTAATAAATAAATTCAGTAAGGTCACAGGATACAAAATCAATATATAGAAATCTGTTGCATTTCTCTATACTAATAATGAAGTAGCAGAAAGAGAAATTAAGAAAACAATCCCATTTACAATTGCATCAAAAAGAACAAAATACTTAGGAATAAATTTAACCAAGGAGGTGAAAGACCTGTACTCTGAAAACTATAAAACTTTGATGAAAAATATTGAAGATGACACAACAAATGGAAAGAGTCTACATTCTAGGATTGAAAGAATACTATTAAAATGTCCATACTACACAAAGCAATTTACAGAATCAATGTAATTTCTATCAGAATACAAACATTTTTCACAGAACTGGAACAAATCATCCTAAAATTTGTATGGAACCACAAAAGACCCCAAATTGCCAAAGCAAACTTGAGTGAGTAAAACGAAGCTGGAGGTATTACAATTCCAAATTTGAAGATATAAACAAACTTGTAGTAATCAAAACAGTATAATACTGGCACAAAAATAGACACACAGATCAATAGAACAGAATAGAGAGCCCCAAAATAAACCCACACATATATGGTTAATTAACCTACAACAAAGGAGGCAAGAATATACAATGAGGAAAAGACAGGTTTTTCAACAAATGGTGCTGGGAAAACTAGACAGCTATAGGCAAAAGAATGAAACTGGACCCCTTTCTACACCATATGCAAAAATCAACTCAAAATGGATTAAAGACCTAGATGTGAAATCTGAAACCATAAAAATCCCCAAAGAAAACATAGGTAGTAATTTCTTTGACATCAGCCACAGAATCATTTTTCTAGATATGTCTCCTCAGGCAAGGGAAACAAAAGCAAAATTAAACTATTGGGACTACATAAAAATTAAATGCTTTTTGCACAGCAAAGGAAACCATCAACAAAACCAAAAGACAACCTACTGAACTGGGGAAGATATTTGCAAGTGGTATATCTGATAAGGGTTAATATCCAAAATATATTAAAAAACTTATACAACTCAACACCAAACCCCCCCAAACAATCTGATTAAAAATGGGTAGAGGATCTGAATAGACATTTTTCCAAAGCAGTAAGAGATAGTTGACAGACACAGGAAAAGATGCTCAAGATCACAAATCATCAGGGAAATGCATATCAAAACCACAATGAGGTATCACCTGATACCTGTCAGAATGGCTGAAACAAAAAACACAAGAAATAACAAGTATTGGTGAGGATGTGGAGGAAAAGAAACCTTCATTCACCATTGGAAATGCAAATTTGTGTAGCCACTGTGGAAAGCAGTATGGAGGTTCTTCAAAAAATTAAAAATAGAATGACCATGATTTAGTAATTTCACTAAAGGTAATTTACTGAAGGAAAACAAAAACATGAATTCAAAAAGATAATGTACCTCTATGCTTATTGCAGCATATTTCCAATAGCCAAGTTATGAAAGCAACCCAAGTGTCCGTTGATAGATGAATGGATAAAGAAGGTATGGTACACATACACACACACACATACACACACACAGAGAATGGAATATTACTCAACCATAGAAAAGAACGAGACCTTGCCATTTTCAACAACATAGATTAACCTAGAAGGTATATTCTTAAGTGAAATAAATCAGCAGAGAAAGACAAATACCATATGATTTCATTCATATGTGGAATTTAAGAAACAAAAGAAATGAACAAAGAAAAAAGACAAGCAAAATACAAGACTCTTTTTTCTTTCTTTTAAAAGATTTTTATTTATTTATTTATTTATTTATTTATTTATTTTTGAAGGGGAGAGAGAGAGAGAGGAGAACAAGTGGGGAGGAGGGGCAGAAGGAGAGGGAGAAACAGATTCTCTGCTGAGCAGGGGACGCCCCAGCCCAACATGGGACTCCATCCAAGGACCCTAGGATCATGACCTGAGCTGAAGGCAGATGCTCAACTGACTGAGCCACCCAGGTGCCCAAAATACCAGACTCAAATACAGAGAAGAAACTGGATGTTGTCAGAGGGGAGATGAGTAGTGGAATGGGTGAAACAGATAAAAGGGATTAAGAGTACACTTATCTTGATGAGTACTAAATAATGTATAGAATTGTTGAATCATTATATTGTACACCTGAAACTAATATAATGCTATATTTTAATTATACTTCAATAAAAAAGAGAAAGAAAAAACATGTCACCTGCAAAACGTGACAGGAAGCTTTTTCTCTAAAAGTACTTCTTGACAAATTGAGCAGATATCATCTGAACCAATTTCCTTCTGTTTAATGTACCCATCTTCTTCTATATGCACAGTTTCATTATTTGTTCCTTGTTGGGGAGTTTGAACTCGATGTATCCCTCGAAGCAAGTCACTGATTTCTCCTTCCACAAGACCTAACTGCAAAGCAGCTAGTGAAAAATCCCAAAGTATTAAAATTCAGTGGCAAAATTGGAGATACAGAAATGTAATAACTTATGCTGAAAGTTACCAGATAAAATATCAGAAAGACAGTTTTGATTCAATTACTACACCTACATTTGCCACTTTTTGTACTTTTTCAGAACCAAAAGGTCAGGAAAGAGTCATTTATAAAAAGAATGGAAGTTACCTTTTTTTTCTTGTAACTGAAAAGAGTCAGTGAAAATATTGCATTTTATAAAGATTCTGGATTAATTATAAGATAGTGCTCATCCTTGGATTGGTGTTATAATCATGTCTTACATATTGATCTGTCCAACTTGCCTATAAACAAATATTTTATCAACATAGAATCAGAAGAAATGGGCAAAACATAAAGGGGTAACAGGGATATTTGAGTAGTTAGTAAAATTAATATTTGTTAAATGAATAATGAATGAATGGATAAGAGGAGAGCAAGACTCAATTAATTGTGCCTATTCTCCTATCTTGGTTTTATGTTTGTACAAGAGTGTCTTGGTAGCCACATCCTTCACAGATTTGGTTAGTATTCCTCAGTACAATCTATTACAAACTATGTTGTTTATAACCTTGGGATGTGCATTCTTTGAATTATGAATTTTCTACATCCTGCTGTCTTTATAAGAAATTATTTTCTAATACATATAGTTTTGATCAGGACATCCTAGATTCTTTGTTCCCTGGCCCATCCCAGGCTCTTTTCCTTTTTTCTCTCCTTAACATGCCATAATTTAAATGTCATCGGTTATTGGTACCCCTGAATTCTATTCATTTTACACATCCCTTAATACATTTAATACATTCTTTAATAAATTTTAAAAATATTTGCAAGATAATGAAAAGCTTCATTTTTCTGGAAAGTCTCCCAATTAAACACTAAAAATACTGAAAACATCATAGATACATTTCAATACAGAAAACTCTGTTCCTTGTATGAGGTGGGGTGGCAGGTGGAATGTAAGAGGGTAACATACTTTAATTAACCATTACTTTGGAGGCTGAGGTCTATTTGTCACAGAGAGCAACATCTGCTCTCTAAAAAAAATGGGGAGGAAAACGAAGAACAAAAATTGTGCTTTTGGGAATAAAGATTTTCTAGGGCAGTGCAATTACTGAAACATAAAAGTTCATAAGAGGAACTGGCCATAAACTGTCTTATGTGGTAAAATATGAATTGGAAAATGCAAGGGAGAAACAAACTCTTCTGAGATAATTTGGAAAAATAATGTATGAGACTATGAAAGAATATTCTTTTATAAAGAAGGCAAGACAGCTAACCTATCAGAAGGCAATGGAAGATGTTCAATTTCATCAACATCAAAGAAAAGTGAGTTGAAATACAATTGAGGCACAGACACAGAATAAATATTGCTATTGAATAAGCAGTGATAAATAAATGAAATGTTGTTTCCCTTATGCTATTTCTTTTTGTATTTATTTAAGTTATATGAAGGCATTTTAGATCTTCTAAGGGTATGTTAGATGTATGGGAGAATGGAAACTATTTTCTTATTTAAGTTTACTAGGAATGAATAGATTATAATGAACCTTGTATCTGGTATTGTTTCATGTTTTGTATGATAGCCTTTTTTCTAAAACTATAGAAATATTATTAACATTTCAAAGTATTTCTATGTATTTTTAAATTATTTTCTTTGGGGACTTAAGTTTTTTGTTCATGTCTTTCATTATATGATTAAGTAATAATATGACCTAATATGAATCCCAAAGCAAAACTAGCAGAAAATTGATACAGTGCTGAAGTTGCAAATCAGCAAAAGTATTTTAAAGACCAATTTGGTAATACATATGGGTGGTAGACATAAAAATATTAATACTTTTACTCTAAAATCCAATTACTGAGACTTTATGCTAAAGAAATGATTGAAAGAAGAGAAAGCTTCATGTACAAAGAATATAACAAGTAGTTTGAAATAAGTTACATGACTAACAATAGAAGAATGTTAACTAAATTATGATATACCATATCCAGTGGAATAATGTTAGCCATCGATGACTTTAATTACAGAGATTACGCAGCATTGAAAATGCTTATAAAGTAACAGTGTGTGATAAAAGCAGAAGACAGAATTCCCATGGAGTATTAGGCATACATAAATATAAACTCAAAAAGGAAGTAAGAATGCATAAAAGTTTATTTTATCTTTGTAGTGGGAATTATAAAAAATTTCCTTAAATGTGGTTCTTATTTGATCTGTAAATATTTAACTAAAAAAGGAACAGACGGCATTAACTAGACAAAAAGAAAAAGAGAAAGGGGAGGAGAAGAGAAGAGCTCAAAAAGTCTACTTTATACTTTGCGTTCTGTCTGCTGTTAGCATTGGAACTTTAAGAATCTCCCTTATAAAAGAAGAGAGGGGAGTTGGATAAACTAAAAGGTTCTCTAATGTCAACATTTATAAAATGAAGAGAGGGATAAGTTTCAACTCTTAGTTATTTGTCCCTCAGCTCTCTATTAAAAAGTAAACTATCAAAAAAAATAGACATTGTATTTAGAAGGAACTATTAGGTGTAAAACATTTGGTGGGTGATAAGAAAAAGAATGTTCGGTGTTCAAAACTGATATCTTTACTATAAAATTCCTGTGTAATCATCTTTGTAAGTCCTCAAAAATAAGTCTCATGTTTTTGATATGCAGCATTAGAGTGTAAATATTTGTTTCCTGATGTGTTTTGGAAGAATCTAGGAATGATATTCAAAATACTCTTCCCTCATTACTAGTAACCATCTCCTCCATTACGTACATACTTCACATAATCTTAATGAATAACTGTTTATAGCTTTCTTTAAATTACTTTAATTTTCATATATGTTTGCTCTAGCTTTCATTTAAATGATAAATTTTAAGATGTGCAAATAGGATTTTCTCAATGTTGACTAAAACTTCTTTTAAATATAGGAGAGATGCAAGATCTTTTATTTTATTTATTTTATTTTTATTTTTTTTAAAGATTTTATTTATTTATTTGAGAGAGAGAATGAGATAGAGAGAGAGCATGAGGGGGGGAGGGTCAGAGGGAGAAGCAGACCCCCCGCCGAGCAGGGAGCCCGATGTGGGACTCGATCCCGGGACTCCAGGATCATGACCTGAGCTGACGGCAGTCGCTTAACCAACTGAGCCACCCAGGCGCCCAAGATCTTTTATTTTAGCAGGAAGTATACATTTTTCAAAATTAATGTATAGGATTAAACATTTAACAATTTCCCTATTGTAGACTGATATTTATAAAAAGAACAAAACATGGTTTCTGTCTTCAAGAAGTACAAATCATAACACAATATTAAGTATTACATTGGTCCATATGAAATTGCTATTTTTGTAAATGAAGAATTCCACAAATGTTAGTATTCATATGTTTTGATTTATAAAAAATACCTAGCAGAGGCTCCTGGCTAATATGCAGTACAATAAATATTTGTTGAGTTCAGTTGTGTAGAGCTGCACTGTCTAATAGAGTAGCCAGCCATTAGCCACATGTGGCTACTGATCACTTGAAATGTGGCTCATGTGACTGAAAACCTAAATTTTTAATTTTGTTTCATTTAAATTTAAGTTGAAAGTTGATAATTGATAGTTACCGAAAAATTTATGAGTATGTTTGTAACAATTCGGGTATTACGTGAATCTTTTTTCCAACTGATTACTTTTTGAAATCTAAATGCAGAAAAAATATTTCCAATGAAAATATAGTATCTGAGATGAGATGCTCTGTAAGTAGAAAATACACACTAGACTTTGAGGACAGTATAAAAAAATCGTATTATTTTTATATTGATAACATGTTGATGTGATAATATTTTGATGCATTGGATTAAATTAACATATTAAAATTAATTTTCCCTGTTTGTTTTTACTTTTTGTAATACAGCTACTAGAAAATTACATATGTGGCTTACGTTATATTTCTATTGGACAACACTAGTATAGAAGCTAGTGAAAATGATATGTAGTGGGGAGATCAAATAAGACTTGGAGAGGATGTGAACATTTAACTTTAGGTGGATAAAATGAAGAAATAGAGAAGAAAACAATACGTATAATATCATAGAACCTAATCATTGTGTATGAAGGGATTGGGAGAGAAGATGAAGTAGAGAATTAAGTAACATTTCAGAAAGAACATTTTGTCTACAATGTGAAGGAGGAAGCAACAAAGTGCAGGCACTGAAAAGAAGGAGGCTACAAAGAATACTATTAAGGGCTTGTGAAGGCGGACAAAGGTGAGAATGAGGTTGGAGAGATGAGAACACTGTTGAGAAGAAGGCAGGATGTAACGTAAACAGGATTTATAGAATGACTAGAGATATGAGGGAAGAAATTGGAAGAAGAAAAATCAGGGTTTCTAGTTTTGGAGACTAAAGAAGAAGGAAAGCCAATATATGAGGTAAGGAATACAAGATGGGAGCATAAATGGGGAGAAATTTGGTATTTAAAATGCCCGTGAGTCCTCCAAAACTGAGCTGTCCTGAAGGCAGCGGGAATACTGCTCTGTTGATAATGTTGAAGTCACTGGTATAGAGGTAACAGCAGACATAGAAAAGGCGAGACATTTCTAAGAGAATGTGTAAAGTGGGAGAAGAGTACAAAAGAAAAATGCCTGTGAAACAGTAATATTAATTTATTACCTAGTACAACTTTTAAATGTTTATTATAATTGTACTTATATGATAGTTGGGGGGAATTGAACTTGGCTGAGTAAAACCAATACTCTTAGAAGTAAAAAAAAAAATTGAAAACTGATTATTACTTTCTTTATGAACATTATAAACATTTACTAATAAATTTTAAAATGTCATTGCAATTCTTAGATGGGTCTATTGCAGGCCAAATAACCACATGACTACAGGAACAATTCCATAATGACAATATCTTTTTTATAAGATCTACAAATCTAAGTTATGTATAACAAAATTATTTTTCTTTCTCTTAATTTTGAGTACTCCAGAGCTTAAAGTTACACAACTATATGCTTGACTCCAAACACAATTTAAGTACTGAGATAAAAACTATTTTATTCTTTAAAAAATATATTTATAGATTTTAAAATATATTTGTGTATATATTGGCATACAAATAAGTCAGTCAGTAGACATTTCTGAATGAAATTATGTGCTATGTCAACTGCCTATTGATGGGATCTAAACAATTACATTTCTTATTTTTCCTGTAATTAAAATAGTTTTGAATATAGAAACCACTGTGAATCTTTGCTTAGAGCACATGAGGAAAATTTTGCCTTCAGAATAACTGGCCATTGTTTCATCCCTTTTTAAATTAAATGTCATTGAGTTTGAAATGACATATAAAGTTACATTTTTTTTATTAAGGAAGAAAAATGTTCCAACTGTCTTAAATGAACAAACTGAGCTATAGCTAGTTGTCAGATTGTCTAGGAAAATAATTTTTTAAATTTAGAATATGTCCAAACAAAAAATTACTAAAATTGTTAACTTCAAAATAATAAAAGAAAAAATACAACTTACATTCATGATTCCTTGGAAGCTTGAATTTTTTCAACAAGACCCTAATATTCACAGGCAGAAAACCAAAATAAAACATTTATTTTTGATATAACCTAAAAAGATATATTTTGTTTTAATTTTAAGATAGGAAGAGCATTATAGAATTTATACTGCTGACAGTGTTATAAATAAACAACACTCTTACCAGTTTTCTGTTACAATAGTAGTTAAATGTTAACTATATTGAAATTATAATAAAAAACTCATACAAAAAACAGTAGTTAAATATATGTTTTAAAGTAAGCACATGTGAAAAAAGTGTGATAAATGAAAATAAAAGACATTTATAATAAAGAGATTTGCTAGAGAGAGTCCATGAATTTCTTCAGGATATACATTTGTTCACAGAGATAGGTTAGTGAAGGAACTGAGGTATTCATAGTACTTCCTTTAAACTTACCTAGATGTTTCTTACTCCTGAAAATGGAGTAATTTTCTGGAGAGTACTAAATGACTTTTCCTCCATATACTACTTTAATGTATGACAATAAAAATACTTCAAATATAACCAATTAAACTGGAATATGGCTTTTTTAAAAAGTGAGAAATATATACAAAATTCTTGCATAAATATATTAAATATACTTTAGTATATTAAATACTTGAATCATATTTCCATTTAGTTTGGTATATATATATTTTAAAACGAGTTATATTATATAAAAATGAGAATAGAAGGCCTTTGCCCTGGGGAAGCTAGCACTAAAAAAATGAAAAAACCTATTTTAATAAATGTAATTTATTATTTTTAATAATAAAACCAAACTCCAAGTTTTGAAAGGACCATATTTTATATCTTCTATGCTAACTACAGCAAATTTTATTAGCAATGCTGAATAAAAACTGATCAAAACAAAACAACAAAAACTTAGTAAATAAAAGCTTTGGAAATGACAGATATACATTGTTTTTGTTTTGTTTTTTTAACCTATAAAGAAAAGCATTCAAAATGTAAGGTACAAACTCTTCTCTCAATTTTTTGTTTGATTTGTTTTACTCTCAAATATCAATAAAACTTTCTATAATAGTATAATTCATGATTTGTTTGTATAAATATAGATGAGTAAAACAAAATGAATTGAAAGAACGAAAAAAATGGAAAGAATTCCAGACTATTTCCAAACACTAAATGGAAAGAGTTTTTTTAATTTCAATTTCTGGGATTCCCCTACAAATAGGTTCTGACATTAGAGGTAAAATTTCAGATTTGGTGATGAGTATTAAAGAGGGCACTTATGGAATGGAGCCCTGGGTGTTACATGCAAACAATGAATCATGGAACACTACATCAAAAACTAATGATGTAATGTATGATGATTAACATAACATAATAAAATAAAAAGAATATATATCATAATAAAAAATTATAATGATTTATTTTGTTATTAAATAATTTGTTGTGCTGCATTTACAAAGAAAACAATTCATCCATTAGAAAGCATAAAAATAAAAATGCATTTGGAGATTTATTTTTAACTGACAGCAAATAGAAATCCTGTAATGAGAACATAATTATCATTAGTGATGTGAATCAGGGAGGTTTTTCTTTAGAGTTAGATTTCACATTTATATATAATGAGACCCTAGGAAGTCATTTTTTTCTTATTAAAAACATTAACATTCAAAACTTGTAGAGGTGGTAGTATGTTTCTCAAGTTAAACCTTACTTAATTTTCAGAATGAAATAAAATATCCCAAAATATACTGAAAAACTACAACCATTTTACTTTTATATTCTCCCAACACAAATTTCTTTAATCTTGTAGTACTCAAATCATGAAAAAGGCAATATACCAAGATGCTCCTTTGTGGCAGATGTTTATTACAGAGTTACTTACCAGCATATATGCTTACAAAGTTCTCCTCCTTTCAGAAATGTGGAACAGTTACAAACATGAGGATTTCCTAAAAAAACCTTTAAAAGAAAAATGCATACTTAAAAAAAAAACCCTCCAGCTAATTTTTAGAGTTAGAATACAATTAATTTAATAGTTAATAGGATTAAAAGAGATTTCAAGAAGTAATTTAGTTTAGGTGACTCCAAAGGTTGAATATAGTCTATTGAGACATCTTAACTCTTGACACCAGTCGCCTCATATTCTTTGTGTTGGTCAACAATTTGCATTATCAGTTAAGACTCTTTTTAGATGACCTACACTCAGGCAGCTGAAAAGAAATCTAATTTTAAAAGCTAAAAAAAAAAAAATTCTATACATTTCTTACTGAAAATTCATTCTGCCTTGCAGTGGAGCTAAAGATCTTTTGTAAACTAGCTTACCTTGGATTTTCGTTTGTTTTGTACATTTAAATTGGCATATAATTTTACTTGAGAAGACTAATTTTATTCACCACATCTATATTGGATGAAACAATTTATTAACTACAGTAAGTGTTATAAGGGAGAAAGTAAAAAAAAAAATGTCTTAAATAAGCACAGGCTAGTAGTTTGTATTCAGTACTTAAAATGCAGGACACTAAATTAAAATTTTCCAAATCAACACCTGGGAGAGGGGATGGATGGTGGCTGACTTTTGAGTGGCGAGAGTGGGATATCAAATATAAAGTATCTGTTGTCTTTCAGCAAAATTAGAAAGAATTTTTATTAAGACCTTTCCAAGGCATCATCATCTAAACAGTACTTTAAAAGGATCTTCTTGGAGTTTTAGAGTAACTGAAGAGTAAAGAAAAACCGATTTTATTTATTTGGTAAATATTTACGGTATGTAAGTAGGTCATAGGATTTTCATTTCATTTGAGTTACAGGGCTAGTGACTGCTAACACCGGATCTAAGGATGCACGCAATGTAAACCCTAGATTTAAATAAAACGTCTCACATTTTCAAGCCTAAAGATCAAGCAAGGGCCATTATATTACAAGAGTTGGATGCAATTTGGAGTCCTGACTTTCAAAAACGAAACTTTTCTAACAAATACTATTTCCCTCTGCAATCTGCCCATCTTTAGAGTCTGGAACTCGTGCAGGTGGGGTGGGTGTGGCAGAGAGAATCCGCAGGGATTGTGAGGGTGGCTAGATACCAGGCAGGCCCAGGAGGACCAGGCGGGGGGGCCAGGCTGGAGCAGAAGGGAGCCGGGGGCGGTAATTACTCGGAAATCCCGGTTTTCCGGCTCCTCCTCCCTCAGCAGGAAGCCCGTGGGGCCCATCTCTCGTAGGAGGTAGATGCTGCTGCTCATCGCCTGGTCTTGTTGCCAGCTGAGGTGGTCGCTCAAGTGTCTTCGCCTTTCAGAGGCTTTATAGCCTCGGCGAAGCATCCTGCCTGGGTGCGGGCGAAGGCAGCCCCTCTGCGAGACTCTCCGAGGTGCCCGCCGGTCTCCATGACAACCGCGTGCGGGCGGGTTGCCTTGGTGATGGTGGTCGAGCTCCCCGGTGTCCCAGCGTGCCTTGCGCCAAGCTGGAGCTCGCGACGAAAGTGCGAGGGGCGAAGGGTGTCGGTTCCACAGCTCTCAGCCGCCTCCACTCCTTCCTGAAGTGGCGTTCCTGGCTGAGAAGAGCTAACTTAAAAGCTGGCGGCCAGAGGCATAGCTGTCAGATCTCTCACGTTCCTTTTGCTGGTTCCTCGCAGGCAGGGCTGGTGAATGAATTCGTGTATTAGGACAGTCGCACAACCTGGTTACTGTTTGGGCTCTGCATGCTAAAATTATCCTGTGATGATTCATCATCTTTATCAGAAAGCCCAGAGTGATTGTTTTTGTTCAACAATATTCCACCAACATTTCCCAAGTGCTCACTATGTACACAATCTGAGCGAGTCGCTGCGGGAAGATCAAAAATGCGGAAGACAGGAATCTAATCCCTAGGAAGCTAGATCCTTAAATCCGGGTGTGTGTGTGTGTGTGTGTGTGTGGAGGGGTGTGGTTTTAAAGCAAGAGGAGCATCGCTAAATTGCATATCTGGGTAGGGATGGGTGTTGGGGCATAGGGCAGAATCCGTTGACTCTGTCCTCTCAATCTACAACGTCTGTTCTAAGGAATAAGATTTTTGAGGTATGCAACATTGATTATAATTCAAATGGTCTATGAGCTTTGTTACCACGTTAGTGGGAGAGCTGTAACAAAGTTGAGTCAAGTAAAGAAGCATGTTACTAGAATGTTTCTAAGAAATTGAAATCAGGAAATGGATACTTGGTGGCCCAGAAACATAAGCAAAGATGGAGGATACTTGTCCCATTTTATCATTGGTGGAAGCCACAACTAGATTATGTCAAGAGCAGAAAGGAGAAAATGGCAAAGGCCATGCTATGAGAGAAGATGATGGAAATGGCAGCTTGCACATGTGAGACAGGCAGATAAACATCATTCAATCCTAGGTCTAAGGTTTTAACTTACTAAATTTTATTACTACCTTCCTATTCTGACAAATAACAACTAACATACATACAACCATAATCCCAACTTTGCTGTCAATTTAATGGTATTAGATGCTAAAGTAAAACATTACACATTAGGGAAAAACTTCATATTGAAACCAAAAGAAATTATAAATTGAATTCACTTAGTTTATTTGTTAATACTTATAATTAAAAAAATTCAAAATAAATTACTGACAATCTACACTTTCTATATAACAAGATGAGTTGGGTTCAGAGTGAAGGCATTTTATTCAACTGTCACTCTTTCTCTCTCTCCCTGTATATATGTATATATAATATACACAAAATATATATGTATATGTATATGTATAATGTATAATATACACAAAATATATGTCTCCATATAACATATCTTGCTATATTATGTGAATATGAAGTAATACAGTTATTTAAGAATTGCCTTGAAGAGAACTTTAAGAAATGAACAATAGCAAGTAATTATTAAAAATGTTATGTTTTACTTATTATAATTAGATGATGCTTGCTCCATGTGTAAGTGATAAACATCATTTTCAGAAAGGTTACATGTTTAAGACACAATAGTCTTTATGTAAACTAAATGTAGGTTCATAAATTCCATTTTGGGGAGTGATAAAAGTAGGAATATTCATGCTTTCATGGAAGTTAAAAAGAGACAGCACAGATTGTTAGACAGAACTTCAGTCTAGATGTAAGACATTTGTTTTTATATCTGTCAGTTAAGACTTTAAAATGTTTTTATAGGCAGATGACTATCCCATATGTTTGCTTCATCTCTTAAGAGTGTATGACATGAGTAATATTTGCAAATATTAAATAAAGGAATTAAATTCCTCCCTTAAGTTTGTTGTGTTCCCTTCCAAGTTACATTTTGAAGCATATTGCCCCAGAGATGAGGGAAGTGGTTAGTACTAGAAATGAGTCATTGATAAGCTTTGAGTTTCATGAATTAAGTTTTAGTCTCTTTAGCAATTCAATTTAGCCATAAAAGACAGGAATTAATAAATTTTATCAATCAATCTTGACTATATAGGTTAAGATAGAAAAAGTTGGGTCTGTAGTATTAGACCTTGGGATTGTGGAAGAGAATGCCTCTGGGGGGGTGGGAAGAAGACTAACAGAAGTCAGTGGAGGAAGTCAGCTGCTATTCTCAACATGGGTATATTCGTGTTGGGGTGAGAGTGGAAGTATGTGGAGGGATGGATTGAAACATTGAGATGGGTTTGGGAAGACTGAGAACACATCTAGGGTAGGTGTGTGGTATCAGGATGTTTAGTTCTGGAATAGTGTCAGAAAGGTGCAGGTTGCTGGGAAACTTTAGCTTTTGGCCTAGTGTCCCCTAACACGGAGTGAGCAATATGCGGAGGTGCCAGTTGAAGACAGATAGGTAAATCAACTGCTTGTAATGTCCTGGTTCTGAAGAATTAAAGACATACAATGAATATAGGAGTTTGTGTTTACATCTAAAAGTGGGCACAAAAGGCCGAATACTAGTGTCTAAGGTGATGCAGAACTCAACAATTTCAAGACAATAGAAGCAAATACAACCAAGGACTCCAGTGGGGAGCTTCAAGATGAGAGCTCCTTTAAAAAAAAAAAAAATTAAAGTCAAATAGAGTGAGTCACAACTCAGTGATCACCAACAGGGAATAGTTCAGACTGACCACTGCAGAAGTGACCAGGAAGAATCCAGTGGACATTGTGCAGGTTCAAGATCATCTTTTGTAATCAGACATATGGTTATATAAGCTTTGCTTTCCTCATATGCTCATATACCTTTTTGGAGAGAAATAGGGGATGGGTGGAAATCTGAAATGCTAGGCATTTTATCTTTACTAGTGACTAAGGCAGACTTAACATTCCCCTCAACTTGACTAAACTTTAGATAGGTTTCTTCCTGACTATAGGTCCCTGACCTCCATTTTCTTAGAGCATTTATTCTAGAAAACTTTAAATTGTATTTTTTTCTCTGTCCCTTTGAGATGTAAATCATCTTTCTCCCAGGCTCTTGCTAGTTTTACAAACACAGTAGTGTATTTCTGAAGGAACTGGAAACAGCTCTTTGAAGTGAAATCATCAAGAAAGACAGTGCCCCTATCTCCTAGTCTTTGTGGCAGTGTGGAACCTAACTTTGGTGACCACCAATAAGCAGTCATTTTAACAAACCTCCTTCCTAATGTCCTCCAGTACTTTTCCACTAGCTTGCTGCAGGCTTCAAAATGCTCCTTTTGTTTCAATGTAGTTGAAGTCAATCTCTCTCTTCCCTACTGCAATCATCCTGAGTAAAGTCTTCCTTGATGGTTTAACCCTGTCCAGGGCAATTTATAGAGAATTGGACCATTTATAGAGAAAACATACTTCAGGTTTTTGCACATCCAAGTGTAATATAAATAAATTTGCAACCTACTGTGAGTGTGATCGGGACTTTTAGTTTAAGATGTCAGACTGAGTAGATAATGTCAGTTCTCTTCCATCTGAAGAGTCTATGAAAATAATAAAAAAAAAAAGTAAAAAGTTGCAACCTCTGATACTGAAAAGAACTAGAGAGGACAGAGGTAGGTAGACTTCTAAGAATGACCCCAATGACTTTTGCCCTTGTATAATTCCCTCTCCTGTGATTATGTCATGTCACATGACAAAAGAGATTTTGATGATATAATTAAGGTTGCTGTCAGTTGACTCTGAGTTAATTAAATGGGGGATAATTTGGGTCATCCTGATCTAAACATACAACTCCTTTAAAAGCACAGAGTTTTCTCTGGCTGGTGGCAGAAGGAGAGGTCTGAAACGAAGCATAGTTTTCTTGTTGGCATTGAAGATGGAGGAGGCCAGGAATGTTGGGGACCCTGGAAGAAAAAAGTAGACTCTGGTGGAGAGCCAGAAAAGGAATGGGGGACTTAGACTTATAGCAGTAAGGAACTGGATGTTGCCAGCGACCTGAATAAAGTTGAAATCAGATTCTTCCTTAGAGCTTTCAGATAAGAGTACATCCTGGCTGACACCAGCACTTCAGTCTTGTAATACTCTGACCAGAAAACGCAGCTGGGTATGCTTCAACTTCTGACCTACTGATCTGTGACCTAATAATGGGTGTTAAGTCACTGTTTGTGGTAATTTTTAAAATATCAATAGAAAATGAGTATATGGGGCCATTGGCAAATGGATACGGGGCCGGTGGCAAATTTCAACAAACTGCTAGAGGAACAAATATGAATGGAAAGTGCTGACTGTCTCAGGGGGAATAAGTGAAGGTATGAACATGAAACAGTTTACTCCTCGTTATCTGCCAGCATTGGGTTGGACAAGAGAATCGCTCTGGCTGGTTCTAAGTATGGAGTAATTTATTATAGGATATAAGTTAGCTTGCAGAATGTTTACTAAGGCCACAGAAATCAAACCTTGATCATATATTAAAATGAGGCACTCAGGAAAATTGTTCATTCATACCCTGAGTTTTTTTGCAATGGAAATACCTCTAAGTCACTCAAGAAGCCAGGGACCAGACATTAGCACCTCTACTACCGTTGCAGAAAACTTCATAACTGGAATTGCTAGTTGGGCTTCATGCTCTCAAGAGCTTCACTTCTGCCTTTCAGGTCTGGGCAGAAGCTAGTAATGTGTTATAATCTAGAGGCCAAAAGAAAAAAAATCTGGGAAATATGGAAAGGTGGTTTAAAAAAAAAACTGGACAGGTAAAAGAACGGCCAAGAGAGGAAGGTAAAAGTAGTTTGGCCAGCCAAAAGGAGGAATCAGGGAATCAGAAAGAGCTTTTTGGTTTTAAAAAAAATGATTGTCCAAAAAAAAAAAAAAAATTCCCACCACTGAGGGAATTTACCTTCAAGTGGAAAGAGCTTATCAAGTGGTAAATAGGATGAATGAACTATAATTATTATCATACTTAGTTATGTGGTTAATAAATTTCAGAACATTAAAGAATGAGAAAGCCCATTTACAGAATAAAAAAATAGGTACAAAGAGGCAAAAATTAGATAAGCATCAACTTTTTTGTTTGCGTTTATATTTAGCTAAGTAGGACTCAGAAGCTTATCTCCCATGCACGATTAATGAGTACGGAACTAGAGGATATATACCAGAAAAATCAGGGTCATTTTAATTTTATGTTTATTATTATTTTTTGTTTAATTTTATGTTTAAATGGTTCCTATTTATCAACACTTGTCCTTTTATGACATAGCTTCTCTGTTTTCTTTATTTAGTTG